GCCCGGAGCAGGCCGCCGCGAGACTTGAGAAGCTCAAGGGCGCCGTCCGCACCATCCTCGAATGCGTCGGCGAAGACCCCGACCGGCCCGGTATCCTCGACACCCCGAGACGCTACGCCGAGGCCATGCTCTTCTTCACCAAGGGCTACCAGCAAAACGTTCGCGATATTGTCAACAACGCCATTTTCCAGGAGGGCCATAATGAGATGGTCATTGTCAAGGACATTGAGATCTTCAGCCAATGCGAGCACCATCTCGTTCCCTTCACTGGCAAGGTGTGTAGAACCGCGTCGCATGGCTGACTGAACGTAAAAGCTGACTGGGAACACCACAGATGCACATTGCCTACATCCCCAAGAACCAAGTCATTGGCCTGTCCAAGATCCCGCGCATTGCCGAGATGTTTGCCAGACGTCTCCAGATTCAGGAGCGCTTGACCAAGGAGGTGGCCAACGCTATCATGGAGATCCTGAAGCCTCAAGGCGTTGCTGTTGTCATGGAGTCCAGCCACCTGTGCATGGTCATGCGCGGAGTGCAGAAGACGACCACCAGCACGATTACCAGCTGCGTGCTCGGCGCATTCGAAAAGAAGGAGAAGACCAGGAACGAGTTCCTCAGCCTGGTGGGTCTGAAGACATAGAGGCGCATTCAGAGAAAATCACCCTGCCTGAGACAACCCCTCCTCCCTCCGAAGTGAGGGGCATGAGTGTGGCGGCTTTGGGTGCATGCTACTATTACTACGGCGTTTTGGTTTACAGGGTCATGCATTACGAATGGGAGAGACCATCTTTTCAACATTGGGTCAAGCATTGGCGATATTTCTGAGGGTAGATTTCATGAGAAGGGAGCTCAACGCTCGTTCTGGGTTTAAAATTTTTGTTTCAACAGCGCACGCACGCACTTTGTTTTTTCAACACGGAGCGCAGATACAATTGAACAAGGAGTTGCCGGCCGTTGGCTTGCTTGCTTACTTTCAGCCACCACAACTACTAGCCTGCATCTACCGGCATACTACTCTGTCTTTGTGCTCAAACGTCGAAGCGGTCACGTCTCCCTGCGTATGCAGGAGGCCGATGCATCTGCAGGCCAAATGGTCTGCAGTAGGGTCAAGCTGTCTGCAGGAGGCCAAACGAAACAAAACAAAACTGATCGAAGTGCAGCGGAAACTTCTGGCACGGTTGGCAAAAGACGTTACAACACATTGTCCACGCCACGGAGCAGAAAGCGCAAAAAGAATTGGTTCTCCCCTTCCAGAATCGAACTAGAGACCTTTCGATGACAATGTAACCATTACAGTCGAACGTGATGAACCAACTACACCAAGGGGAGATGTTAGAGGCTAAGCCTCTCTTGGTGAGATGCTAGGACCGCCGGACTGTGGTCCCAAGAGGGGCGGGCTACATTCGAGTCATTTTTCTGCCTGCATGATGCCCGTTCAGAGCCGTATTGGTGTGGGCTGCGAGGTCCACGTGGAGACTGTCCTCCGCAGGTGCATTCAGTTCCGTGGGCAATTGTATTCGAAATTGTGAAATTACAGAATTGAAAGGTGAGAAATGCCGATAGCCCAGCCGCTAACCTCTCGTCTCCAGCTTACACCGGACTCGCACAACCGAAACTCGTGGCCTGCGACTTGCCGTTGAACGCCTCAATCAGCCCCTCAATGGACGAGTACATCCCCAGCGCCGTCGTGACCATGCCGCCAAGCATGTAGAAGATATTCCAGGAGTTGAAGAGCGGCTTTCTCATGAAGCCCCTCCAGTACCGCCAGAACCCGCCATCGACGTAGTGATAAATACCCGTCGCGGGGTCAAATCGTTCCTCCCCTGGCAACATCGCGTCCTTCCGGATCCAGTACCCGAGCCCGAGCAGCGCCGGCAGCGTGTAAGTGAAGGACAGGATGAACAGCGCGCCGATAAAGCCGGAGACGAGCGAGAACTGCGGCACCGCGGCGCCGACGATGAAGGCGATGACCCAGTACACCGGGATCACGGCCGCCCAGAGCATCTTCCCCGCCGAGGCCGTCAGCGGCGGCGCCCCGAAGACGCCCTGCAGGAACTCGACGTAGAGCACCTTCATCCCGATGTTGCCGTACAGCCCGGCCGCGATGAGCCCCGTGATGAGGCTGAGGACGTTCGTAGCCGTCTGCCACGCGTAGGGCGACAGGCCCTGGATGACGGGGTTGAAGCTGTACTGGCCCTGGAAGGAGTACACGTAGATGCCGAACATGAGGTAGATGGAGTAGATGAAGACCTCGCCGAGGAGGAGGGCCTTCCAGAAGTCCATCGGGTGCCGCATCTCGGACATGAAGGCAGCGAAGATGAGGCAACCGCCGTAGGAGTAGACCGCCTGGTTCAGTCCGTTGAGAGAGGCCGAGAAGCCGGAGCCGCCCGATGCCATGCCGTTGGGCGGGGTGCCGGCGTACGTGTGGATTGGCCCGGGACCGAAGGCGTCGCCGAAGGAGGCTTTGGTCGCTGCGAAGTTCGGAGGGGAGTGCGCTACGACGCCCATGCTATTGTCATGGTCAGTACATTCGAAGAACAATGCGCCGGGGTGTAAGAGTATGGCTTGACTGCGCGGCTGCACTCACCAGATGAAGATGATCAACAGATTCACCCACACAGCCAGGTTTGCGATCCACGAGAACCGCTGCAGCGTCCTAATCTGTCCCAGAACGAACCCTGCCGCCATGAAGATGATGAGGCACGCAACGAAACAAATGCCTGCACCGCCATTGGGGCCCTTGGAAATCTGCGAGATCGACTGTCCGTTGCCGAGGATGAGGACCGCGACAAAGAGCATGAGCTGCAGGCCCTGCGCAAAGTTGATGGCGTGCCGCGCCCAGGTCCCAAAGACGCGGAAGTACAGGTCGCCGTAGCCTTTCAGAGGGTACCGGTCGGAGTCGAGGCCGAGGAAGGACTTGTAGAGGATCCATCCCGAACTGGTTCTGTGAGCAGTCTGCGTGGGTACTCAACCGAGTGGCGAGGAGAACTTACTACAAGGACATGATGCCGAAGACGGTATAGAGAGCCACGCCTGGGCCGTATCCCATTTGCGCAAAGGCCCATCTAGAACCCGTCAGTCTGATGTTACCATGAAAGCTGACGATGTGAGTACTTACGGCGTCGAAAAGGGCCCCAGGATATCCGTCGTGATGAGATAGAAAATGGCTCCCCAGCCTGCCGTCCTCATCGCCCTGCTAGCCCTCTTCCACTCTTCCTGCGTTACGCTTCCCACAACCCCTTCGCCGGGAGGAACCAAGGTCTTGTCGCTCCCGATGCTCTTCTCCCTCGTGTCCGGAGCGCCGCCGCTGCTCTCATACTGCCCGTGCTCGTCACCCTTCCTGAACCTGTCCTTGATCACGCTCTTGATAGTAACAGGCCCTCTGGCTTGCACGTATCTGGCATTTGCCTCTTGCTCCTCCGCGCGAGTGATGCTCGCCCAGTACAGATACTCCTCGAACGTCACGTTCGGGTCGTGGATGTTAGGCGTCTCCTCCATGATGTCGACCACATGTCCGTTACCGCACTCGATAGACCGGGAGTTGGATTTCTCGTGCTTAAGCTGTGAAATAGACAGGTCTCCAGCTTCTTGGCTGCCGTCCGTGACCGCGGGCGCGACCGGGTGGCCGGACATGGTTGCTCCAGGTGTCTCAGAGACGGGACGACTTCAGGCGCACGATGTCATAGGGGGGCGAACGAATATAGTTATACCGGCAGGATGTCACACGAATTACCCCAAAGAGAAGGGATGGACTACGGCCTTTATGTTTTCTACAATCCTACGTGGTCTGATGGCGGTTCATCCGAGTGCTTTCAATCAGAGTGCCCACCGGGTGCGACCGTCCCGGATAGCAGAGGCTACCACTTGCCATTTACGCCGTGTTTCGAACCCCCCCGCGATATCGACTGGCGTGTTGGAAGAGATTTGCCGGGGCGTCCTTGACGTCGTCCCGAGCTAAGCTTTGTGGCACCCCTGAAGGCGATGGAACCTAGATAAGGTGCCACAGGGCGCGCTGCAACCCTCCCCCCGCGTGACGATGACAGCGGTTGGGGTTTTGATTCGAGGAATATGTGCTAAGCGACGGTATCATCGACGATATCTCGAGCGATGTGCGTGGGGTGATGGGGCTAGCGATCGCAGTTGGTGCTTGTTTGGCAGGTCAGAACTCTGTCTTATCGTCATACATCGGATCAGGGGGTGAGAAGCTTCGATGTTGGTTCCATTTCGAGATGGCTGTGATAAGAAGGCATGCCCCATCTGCAACGGATTCTCGGCAGTTTGGCATTTCGATATCTCGGGAGTCGGCTAGGACAGGCGAGACCAGATACGTGATGTGGGCAGTTATGCCCATTATCATCTTATTGGAAACTCAATCTCTCCGCTTCTCATCCCACTTAGTCGGGTCTTCGTCATGGGGCGGATGGACTGCCCACGAACAAATCCAACGTTACTCTACTTTTTAGCTGGGGTTTAAATTCTTCATCACCTCCTCTTCTGTGGTTCAGATACCTACCAGCGCAAATTTCATGTCTCGAAAAACAACGACGCAAAACTCGATGTCATTATTGCAGCTCTGTTGATGTTTCTATCAGTGTTGTGGTTGCAAAGGTTGTGGTGAGCTATACGCATGCTGCATAACACTGCTCCATTCTAATGGAACTATTCACTCGGCTCCCAGTTGCGTCCAAGATCAAGAAAAAGACCTCACCAGATCAAGAGTGCCTGTCAAGACCGGTGACCCCCATACGTGTACGTCAGTCCCTGGGTCCGAAAAGTTGGGCCACTCGCCACCCAATCGCCGACTTGGCGATCTCAGTCCACAGGTGTACCACAGGATCATCACCAGGCCCACAACGCTGACTGAGTGAGGTCTGTACAATTTCATCTTTTGACCTACTCCATGGATTGAACGCCAGTCAAAGGTCTTTTCCTCGTAAATGACATATTGATAGTGTGCAATGCCTATGATACAGTTTACAGGTAATAGAGTTGATAACATCTCATGACTCGTCCTTGACAACCGTCGACTTCCGCTTGACCTCCCTCTTTTTAGGCTTCAGCCACTCTTCCATGCCCTCAGGCCAATACACCCGCCGTGTCGGGCCGCCCATGGCAAATTCCTCTGGAGGGATTGTCTTTGCTTCGGCCTCGGTTGGGCCAGCCTCGCCAACCCCCTCATCCATCTCTTCATCGCCATCATCGTCCTTCTTCTTCTTCTTCGGCTTCCTCGGCTTCTTCTTAGCAGCACCGTTCTTATTTGCTCGATACTCATCCTCTCGTTCGTACGGCACGACGTCGTTGAACAGGTCGTAACCAGGTAATTTGAATGTGCGCATGAGCTCGAAGACGGCTTGCTCCTTGTCCTTGGCCTCGATCATGAGATCCATATCGGGCAGACAGGGAGGTAGTGTTTTCACGCGTGGTGAGTGCTTCCTCCGGTCTCGTGGCGTAACAGCCCCCGGGCACGATTCGCTGTAGTGCATCTTCTGTCTGATTCCCTTGCGAGTCCATGTCGCGCGGATACGATCAAAGACTTTTCTGATATCCTCTGTGCCTTCACGCAATTCATTCGCGTCGAATATGATGTTATGATGATGGAAGTCGAGTACCATAGGAATGTTCAGTTCCTCGCAGATGGGCAACAGATCATGTACCGACCAGGAAACGTCGTCATTTTCCAACACGAGACGATTCTTGATAGACTGACTGAGCTTCGCATAGTTGGTTCGGAAGCGATCCACAGTGGCGGGCTTGTCGCCGTAGGTACCTCCCATGTGAAGAATCATGATCGCATCCTTGTCCTGCTGCTCGGGAAGACGTAGAAGCGAGAGCAACTCATCGTGGTACTCCAAATCGCGAACAGCGTTGGCTATGACCTCCTTACGTGGTGACCCGAGTTGTGTAAACTGACCAGGATGTGTTGTTAGCCGATGACCAAGTTGAGCAGCAACCTTACCAGTCTCGGCAAGAGCATCTGCAGCAAACGGTGCTAGTCGATAACCGTATTCCTCGTGGCTGGCGAAAGGAAACATCTCTGAGCTGAGGCGCATGAACTTGATGCCATACTTGTCATTCCACTGAAGCATCTTGACAATGTCTCGAGCGTTTGCTAATCCCAACTCTTGGACATATTTTTGGCCCAGCTTGATATCAGCAGGCTGTGTGTCATCGGGTCGGTTCTTTGTGGCATGCTCAGGCTGACTTGGATCAGCGAGAGGATGCCGATGCTGTATGATAGATGCAATGCGACATGTCCTTGAGCTAAAGACGGGCGGGTTGGCAGCTCGTAGATATGTGTTGAGACAGGCCTTTAACGACATCAGCACGATTTATACAAGAACGAATCCATGGAGCACATACATAACCTAGACGTCCTGTCCAAGGCAGTGGAAGATAGTCGCTATTCACTGGTGGTGCTCTCGCTGCGCCCCGCTCGGGGGCGTCTTCTTCGCGAAGCTTGTCGTCTTCGACGTCTGCAATGGCCCCCTCAGCTTCAGGGCCTTCGATAGGGGCGACATCCAGGTCCGGGGTCCCTGATCGTTGCTCTTCCACCTCACGGGCGCGCTCTTCAGGATTGGACAGCTCCGTTTTGACAACGGGACGCCAAGACTGATCCTCGGGACGTTTCTTGTTGCCGCCAACGACGTGGCTGGTTTCAATGACAAGACGTTGATTCCTGGTGGAGTTTTGGAGACGGTGTTCCATCTCACTGAGCTCTCTCATGGCATGTCGAACGCCATCGTGGGATTTGAGCATCTTGCGACTGAGCTGGCGGCGCTTGGCAGGTGGCTCCTTGTCTGGATCGGAAGGGGTGGGGCGCATGCCGGCGCCGGCCTCGGTGACTTTCTTGACGTCGTGAATACGGCGACTGGACCTCCGGGGGGCAGGGGGGGGCTTTTCTGGATTGGTAGTCTCCTCGGGTTTGATGGCGGCGTCGGCAACAGCAGCAGCAGCAGCAGTGGCAGACTTTCTTCGCTTGGGAGCAGCCATGACGAGAGAGTTAAGTAGCGGAGGGTTGTAAGTGTAGTCCACAGGCAATAGGGAAAGGCTGAATGAGCGGGCGAGTGATGAGCTCAGGGGCGGGACAGGTGACGGCACGGGTGTGGTGTTACGGAGAAGACGCTTTGCGCAAAGCCGTTGATTGGCTGTGGCGGACGAAAAGCTCCTCATGCAGTCAAAGACCGGGGAGGTACGGATGGAAGTAGAAGACGATGGATTGGGATGAGTGATGTATGAGTGTGTCTGGGCCGTTGGGGGGGATGGATTATGCTCGAGAGTGGGTGTTTGTGTGTCTGTCTGTGTTTGTGCTGGTGGGCACTGTCTGAGGCATGTATCCCCTGGGTGTCAGAATGTACCTTGCCTTACATGGACTTCTTGCGACGGATAGCAGGCACGGGCGAGAAGCTATTGAGGACTGGAAGGGTCAGAAGAAGAGATGTAGTCGGGAAGAGAGGATTGTATTGTGGACAGGAGGAAGAGAGAAAGAGAGAGAGCCGGCAAGACGAGGGCATGTTAGCGCGGAAGGAGAGGTAGAGGTAGAGGAGACTGGATGTCGTCAGGAGGCCTGAAGACGGGCACGGATGGCAACGAGGTAGGTAAGGTACCGTAGGTGCGTAGGTAGGAGGTGAGATGGAAGATGTAATGCCTGCCGGCGACGCCATGCAATTCTTTCCTTTGTGATGGGTCTAGTGCAGTGGCGGATGGGCATTTCGATCTCGGTAAGGGAAGGCCCCTCGCCTTCTCAGACACAGGCACAGGCCAGGCACGCGGCAAGGGTAGGTCTTTCCTTTTGCTTTTCTTTTTCTCGCTAGGTACCTGCCTGCCTTCGCTTCGGTTGAGAAGGAACACACGAATAATGGAAGGTACGATGAAGTCACCCGTGGACCTGTCCTATAGGTGGGAAGGGAGGAGGAAGGGGAAAGAGAGACAGAAGGCAGGTGCACCCACCGGTGGCAGGTGGAAGGCAAGTGGAAGGCGCGAGGTGGATTGTGGGGAGGAGCTTGGTCCATTTCAACCGCGTCATTGGTCCCCAAACGAATCGTCGGCGGGAGCTTCGACGTCACTGGGAAAGTCCAATGCATGGTGGTCCGTTGGGCCTGGACGCGGATTTTTGCAGCGTTACGCCACGATGACAGCAGCGACCCGACGAGAACTGTGGTTCACTCCTTCCGCGTCCTGCCTGCCCTAGCGGATGTGTCTCACCGAGCACCCGGCCACTGCACTTGCCCCGTTCTAGACAGCTCTCCCTAGGCGCTCTTCGATGAAGCTTGATGACCAACCCACCTCAGGAAGACAAGCTCCGCCAGCCCGACAACCCGTCACCATTCGCATTGGATCCAGATGCTTCATCCCCTGGTCCAATGTGGGCTTCGGCTCAGGCCGTTGACAAGCTCACCGAACCCAGCCCAGCATATCTACGAATGCTCCGGCGATACCACGACACCTGACCCAAGTCAATGCAGGACCTCACACTGCAGATCGCCATCGATACCGTGCTCTGGCTCTAAGCTACATAGTACGGTGCAACGCCCTGCGCCCCCTCCCCCCAAGTCTAAAGCGCCCGCCTAGCTGAGCAAAACCTCCGCCCATGACGATGCGATCTCGATCCCACCGTCGCTGGTGTCGTGTCACGGCACTCGTCGATCTCGGTCCCTCTGCATCGTCGCAGAAAATTCAATTGCGCTATCTCAGTCGCTGATCAAGAATGACAGTCACGTTTCTTCTGCGCTCCTCCGCCGGGTATCATCTGCAAAAGAAAAACAACGAAATCACCAGTTGACAAGCCAATGACAAACCAATCATCACCCAGTCCTCACATCAAAGAATTGGCACGCTAAGTCGCTCAACCGTGAGCCCGCGAACCCTTGCAGGCGCCGGACTCGCAATTCCGCCATTACGGCCGCCACCGGCCCCCGATGGTGCGGATGCCGCCCGGGCCCTCATTTCCCGCGTCTGCCAGTACGGGCTCCGGCAGACGGGACAGTCGTACCGCTCAATCAAGAACCAAGATGAAAGACACTTGGCGTGAAAAGCGTGGTGACAGCTCTTGAGCGTCAGGATATCGTCGTCGCCCGAGTCGCCCTCCGAGTTGCCCGTCTTCTCGTTCCATAGTTGCATCACACGCCAGTTGCAATTGCTCGCTGCAAGCTTCTCCAGGACACTGCGAATGCCAAAACCCCTATGCGTCTGTCGCCCTCCACTTTCTTCTGGAACATCGCTGCCCCCGCCCGAGCCCGAAGCATGCGAGGGCACTGCCTGCATCGGGCTTGAGCCAGTCGTATGGATGTTGCTTGGGACGAACAGTGGCCCGATGCATATGGGACTGTCAGCAGCAACAGTCAGCGACAGCGACGGCATGCGAAGTGCTGACCAGCTCCCTGCCTGCCATCTCGCAAAGACAGGCCCATCCTAGTGCTACGCCGGGCTGGAGAACATACGGCGAGTACTCACCACTCGGGCGCTGAGTCGTGTTGATTCAGACTCGACTCCATGTCCAGCTTTTCCGGGCCGATTGTGGTGCATTCGGATACAGTGCTCAGCTTTCGACGAGCATCTCCAACCCTGGACGATTTAGGATTGAATCTTCGGTGGTCCTTGACTCGCGAATACGTGACGCAGATTCTACTCGAGAGGGGCATGTCAGCTCTCGTCGCCCTGTGTTTGCGGGGAACTCAAGGCTTCAGCACGGTCTGTACAGTGGACCCAGGACGAGGAGGAAGAGGAACAGCGTGAGCAAGATTATGCCGACTTCGTCCATCCCCTCGCCTGTAGCGCTGCGGGGAGCATCGCAGCTTCCCACGACTGTTTTATAATGATTTCGAGCTCTTTTATGGAGCTTGTAACAATGTCGCGATGCGACGACGTGCAATGGTTCACACAGTTTTGCAGTTTCAACAGAATAGCAGTTGATCAATTGCTGCAGAAGCGACCTGAGCAAGCATTTAATGGAGGCAGGACAGCTGAAGAGGAGCTTGTTGGTCAGATGACCGCCAATGTTACCTATGATCGACAGCAGATAACGTACGCGGCAGGTACGGCACTTCAATCACTCGTCGAGCCAAGCAGTCAATCAAGAGCTCCCCCGCACACTATCTTACATACCGCTACGCTCACAAACCCAAAACACATTGCTAGGCGACTAAATATGTTGCAATGGCCGTGTCTTCTGTGACTCTGCCGTCGTCGTCTCTGCTCCCGATCTCCTTTCGTTCCGTCTTCTTCTTCTTCTTCTTCTTCGTCGTCGTCGTCGTCCCTGGTTCCACTGTCGACTCTGTTGAAGCTCCAATCCTAGCAACAACTCCTCTACTTCGAGCCAAGAGCCTTGGCTGCAAATTGCAACGACTCAGGTGTGCATTGAATCGCAGATCCAGTGAGTGCACAAGAGAAGACTATTTCTCTTGTGACGTAAAGTTTGTTGGTGACACAGGTCTTGGTATCCTTGGTAAGCGGGGGGGTTTTCCTACGCATCCTACGATAGGTCAACGAAGCCGGTCTTCTCTGCGAAAGACACAGGCGAGGCGAGTCTGGATTTCTGGGCAAAGGGCACAGACAATCGGCAACGACCAAGAGGAAGAAACAAAACATCGAAGGAGCTGGAGGTGTGTGCAAACTTATCAGTGGATGGGCGGGGGAAATGCTGGGGTGACAAGGGTTGTTCTTCATGACCTCACCAGGGAGCGCCCCTCCATCGCCCCTCCATCGCCCCTCCAACAACAGCCCGCGAGCTCCCAGATGGTCGTATCCATGGATGATTGGAGTTGAGAATCAAAAAATTGTGAACCCTGGTCCCGGAGTTTGAGTTATCGCCCTCAAGACGAAGAGATGGAATGACCAGAACCGCCAACCGACGGCGCCGCTGGAGGAGAGGAAAAGTGTACTCCCGACGAGCGGCGGCGGCGCCCAGCTCAGGAATTTTCAGTTGACGTGCCAAATGCCAAGCAACCGCCAACTTGCCCAAAAACCCTTGGCTGGCCATCCAAGATCCAGCTGGCCCCCATCCGATGTCCCACCGCCGGGGCGGCCAAGACGTCCGCTGCCCAATACCATCGTCAGCCTACCCTCGAAACGCCGAAAGAAGGATGGCTGGCAGGCTGGGAGACATTGGCGGAGAGGACCCGAAGTAATCTCCCCCGAGCATCCCGCAAGCATTGCAGCATCATGATACGCAGTTCTAGCATGGCTGCAGCTGGTTAGTGACGGTCTTGGTCTTGGTCTTGGTCCTCTTGGGACCATCCCGCCATGACACCGAGCATCATCCTATCTGAGGATCCCACGATAACTTCGACACATTTCCATGAGTCCCCAAAACCGGGCCCCTTCTCTGCTCCACCAGTCTCTTCCGCCGCCGAGCATCTGGGCGTCTCACTCGGGGTGGCTGTGTTTCTCGGCGGGACCCGTCCTCCCCCGCCCGTATCGCGCCCGGGACGTCGTGTATCGCTTACACCGGGACAGTATCCCGGTTCCTCCTCTCTACTTCACCACGGGGCTCGCAGCGACAATCTGGGCGCCTCTCTGGGCAGGCTTTCTCGTGTGCAAGGGGCCAAAAGCAAGCCTGACCGGCATTGGAGTCGAGAAACGGTACTATCAGAGACCACGATTGATGCTCTGCGGTGCAGAGATGGTGTGACGGAACGTTGATGTTCGGGCAGAGGGAGAGACGGAGGCCCCCGATCTCATTCGATTTCGGATTTCCACGGTTGCCATGTTTGGCGCCCGGATGAGCTTCTCGGAGGTCTCGATTGTCTCTGGCTGTTGTGTTGTCTTCGAAGCTGACGGCTCTTCTCAAAGCCCCCGGTTGCCACTCCAAGGGCCGGACCAAACACGGCGCTTTATACTTGCGCAGCACTGCAAGAGGCCTCCTAAGCACCTGAGCACATGGTGCGCGCGTCGTATGGTGCGTACGTCACTTGCTCACAGCGACACTTACTTGGGACGTTAGCACCGGCCTGGGTTCCTGTTGTGAGAGGTCGCGTAAGGTTGTGTAGAACGCA